ATCGAAGAGGCTAGATACTAGCATGGACAAGCTGGGATTAGCATCGAAGAGGCTAGATACTAGCCTAGATAAGATGGGATTAGCATCGAAGAGGTTAGCATCAAAGAGGCTAGATACTAGCATGGATAAGATGGCATTAGCATCGAAGAGGCTAGATACTAGCATGGACAAGCTGGGATTAGCATCGAAGAGGCTAGATACTAGCCTAGATAAGATGGGATTAGCATCGAAGAGGTTAGCATCAAAGAGGCTAGATACTAGCATGGATAAGATGGCATTAGCATAGAAGAGGCTAGATACTAGCCTAGATAAGCTGAGATTAGCGTCGAAGAGGCTAGATACTAGCCTAGATAAGATGGGATTAGCATCGAAGAGGTTAGCATCAAAGAGGCTAGATACTAGCATGGATAAGATGGCATTAGCATCGAAGAGGCTAGATACTAGCCTAGATAAGCTGAGATTAGCATCGAAGAGGCTAGATACTAGCATGTATAAACTGGGATTAGCATCGAAGAGGCTAGCATCGAAGAGGCTAGATACTGGCCTAGATAAGCTGGGATTAGCATCGAAGAGGTTAGCATCGAAGAGGCTAGATACTGGCCTAGATAAGCTGGGATTAGCATAGAAGAAGTTAGCATCGAAGAGGCTAGATACTGGCCTAGATAAGCTGAGATTAGCATAGAAGAGGCTAGATACTAGCATGGATAAACTGGGATTAGTATCGAAGAGGGGATTAGCATCGAAGAGGCTAGATACTAGCATGGATAAGATGGCATTAGCATTGAATAGGCTAGATACTAGCATGGATAAGATGGCATTAGCTTCGAAGAGGCTAGATACTAGCATGGATAAGCTGGCATTAGCATCAAAGAGGCTAGATACTAGCATTGATGAGCTGGCATTAGCATCGAAGAGGCTAGATACTAGCATGGATAAGCTGGAACTAGCATCGAAGAGGCTAGCATCGAAGAGGCTAGATACTAGCGTGGATAAACTGGGATTAGCATCGACGAGGTTAGCAACTAGCATGCCTAGACACCTGTTTTTCACCTATTTTATTAGACAGTAACTTTTCTGAAGAAAACTTTCTCAACARCARTGGACCCTTACCTCTCTTAAATATAAGTTGAAGTATGTGACCCGTCACATCAGACTGAGGATTAAGTGCCTAAGAGGTGGAAAAATAGGCAGATAGTGTTTTGATGAAAATGCATTATGACAAAATATAATGAAACCTTCTGGAGTTAAGTGTCCTGATACTGGATGGAGCAACTGCTGGAGTTACAACAGCCTTAATTTTGACACTGTGACAAAATCCTGGAACAAATCAGTCGCTCTTTAACTCCAGAAAATCACCTCCGGTCAGGCTTTGGCTGCATTCATGTGTGATTTCTGACGACTCAGAGCAAAAAAAGTGCATCTCCTCATGAAAAAATAAATAAATAAATAAAAAACTGTTGAGTTTTCGATTGTAAAGCAGAAACAWAAAGCAGCCAGAATAAATACACACAAGCTGTGAAGCTCCACCTGACAGCCGAGCGCGGCGATAATGAAGACAGATGAAGTGAAGATCAGAGAGGATTAAAGGAAAATCAATAAAGATAAAAGAGGCTGCATCACTTCGTGTGTGTGTGTGTGT